TCCCCCCCCCCCCCCCCCCCACCCCCCCCCCCCCACCTCTCTCTCCACACCTCCCCCCCCCGCCCCCCATCCACCCCGCCCTCTCTCCCCCCCCCCCCCCCCCCACTCCCTCTCGCGCGCTCTCTCTCTCTCTCTCTCTCCCCCTCTCCCCCTCTCCCCCTCTCTCTCTCTCTCTACACCTCTTCACTTACCATATATCCTGGCGTCCATCTTTCTACTCCCAATATCCATTTCAAGTGCTTTTCGTGCAGTCTCTCCATCTTTTCCCTCTCTTTCCACCCCCAAATTTCTACCCCATAACTCACAACAGTCCATACTAACTTATATAACGCTATTCTTCTCTTCCATTTCTTTGCGAACCTCCTCTTTCCTATTCCCCATACCTGTCCTGATATCGCCGTTGCCTTTCGTATAGTAGATCCTCTCCTCTATATATATTAACTCTTCATATTAATTACATATATTTTTATATACATATGTAATATTTGGAATAAAAATTCATTGGTGAACTAAAATGTTGCGACTTTACATTTGTTTCATAGCATGGTGTAGATCTGATGATGCGTTGGCCAATTATCTGCAAGTGCTCGCATCCTTAAGCTCGACCATCGTGCCGTTGATGACCGAGCAAAGCATCTCGGAGCGGCAGCAGGCTGACAATGATTCAGACAACGAATCGAATGGCAGTGTAACCGATCAGGAGCAGGCTGACATCCTGCGGCAGTGCGTTGAAATGTTAAACGAGCAACAGCGCGTAAACGGCGTACTGTCCGCGATCGAACAGAGCCAATCGGATCCCTCCACGTTGTTACAACCACTGTGCCGGTTGTGCCATCATCTACTCATCACCAATAAACTGGCCGTTCAAAAGTACAAACTACTCTATATGCTCGCATTCAAGCCAGTGTTTCTTAAACATTTGTGGACCAGCTTAGCGTCAATTCGCCAGACGTCGTTGTTCGGCGGCGGTGCTGCTACATCTCTTTTGCAGATTATATCGCGTGGAATCGCTCTCTCAGCCGAGGACACTGACAGGATAGTTCCATTATTGGCAGTGTTCTGCTCGTTATTCAGCCTGCTGATCGCGACGTTGCACGACACCGAGTTCTTTCTCGAGCAGACCTCCGCGGAACATACGTCCAACAATCGGCAACAGCACGCAATGCCGTTTACCATCGCGGAACTTGCGGTGCTATCTGGTCACTTGAAGGGTGTCTGTCTGGGTTTGGTGGAGCTCGCATTTCCCGACACTCGACCCACGGTGCGCGACGACTACAAAAATGCCGTACTAGGTCCTACATCTGCTATTCAATGCCGACACGACACGCAGATCTGGACGCACCTGTTCAAGGTTTCTCACCCAATCATACTGATATTACTCTGAAATCTTTACAATCTAACGACGATTGTGATTCACGTCATGATTCTCTGGTGAATTTTCTGTTTTTGTGAGAGTTACTGTTGTAATCAATAATAATGTACCTTGTAAAAATCGTTCGTTATAAATTTGCTTCTGTATTGAAATATATTATAAATTTATCATAGGTTACGGTGGGTCTACTGCGACAATTACACACGCGCGATCTCAGGCGGCAGTTCTGCCCGGAAGGCCACTGGATTGCGTCCAACGTCGTCATTCCCATCGACAAACCGCAAGATTTCGCCTTCCGTAGACGGCGGTTACGTGGATACGTGCCCTTTCAGAATCTGAGGGCTTTCACGAGGGAGGAATTCGAGGAGGGGCCACCGCTGTCGGCCACGGAAGTGCGAACGTTGACGCTGCTACGCGAGATACCGTTCGTTGTACCGTTCAACAATCGCGTAGTAGTGTTCCAGTCGTTGATCTACAAGGACAAAGCGGAACAGCAGGGCGAGCTCGCGCACTTCATGCAGGGTCCGTCGATACAGATCTCCGTGAGGCGAAACTACCTCTACGAGGACGCTTTCGAGAAGTTGTCGCCGGAAAACGAGCCGGAGCTACGATTAAAGATGCGAGTACAGCTTGTCAATACCGCGGGGTTGGAGGAAGCCGGTGTCGACGGCGGCGGTCTGTTCAGGGAATTTTTATCCGAGCTGCTCAAGACCAGCTTCGACCCTAACCGCGGCTTCTTCAAGCTCACCAAGGATAACATGCTATATCCAAATCCTACAGTGCAGTTACTAGTTGACGACTTTCCGAAACATTACTACTTCATTGGCAGGATCTTGGGGAAAGCGTTATATGAGAATCTGCTAGTGGAGTTGCCGTTCGCAGAGTTCTTCTTATCGAAGGTCGTCGGACGGCAGTCAGATGTGGACGTGCACCATCTGGCTTCCCTCGATCCTATCATGTATCGCAATCTGCTCTATCTCAAGAGTTACAAGGGCGATGTGGCGGATCTCGGGTTGGACTTCACCGTGCTCAGCGATGAACTTGGCGAGAGACGGGTCGAAGAATTGAAGCCGAGCGGCACCAACATCCCCGTAACGAATCACAATCGCATCGAGTACATTCATTTGATGGCCGATTATAAACTGAACAAGCAGATACGCGCGCAGTGTTTCGCGTTCAAGCAAGGAATCGGCAGTGTTGTGCCGCTCGACTGGCTGCAGATGTTCAACAATAAAGAGCTGCAGGTACTCATCTCGGGCGCACAGATCCCTGTAGACGTGACAGACTTGATGCTGCACACCAACTATACCGGCGGGTACGCGCCCGACCATCCGACTATCACTGCCTTCTGGAAGGTCGTCAACGAGTTCAACGATCAGCAGAAGGGCCAGCTACTGAAATTCGTCACCAGCTGCAGCCGCCCTCCTCTCCTAGGATTCAAGGTACGTCGTAAATACGCATACTACAACTTCGTAATACGCAATGGCTATTACAAGCTAGACCTCAGTTCAGTATCTAGTTGACCGCAATCATTGCTCTAATAACGTCGCTTGTAACATGTGTTTCATCGTCATTTCATCAATACTCGGCGCATGTTTGTTTACAGGAACTCGATCCACCATTCTGTATCCAGCATGCCGGTACCATGGATCGTTTGCCGACTTCGAGTACCTGTATGAACTTACTGAAACTTCCCGAGTTTCCGGATGAGAAAACTCTGCGCGAGAAACTCCTATACGCGATACAGGCCGGCGCGGGCTTTGAGCTCAGTTAGAGATCTTCAATTTTACTTTTACTGATTTCCATTTCACCGAAATGTGTAAATATAATGTGTAAAACTCTGCGAGTACAAGGCATAATGGGGAAGAAAATATCGTGGAAACTTTATTTGTGCTGTATTTTCCATGAATTACTGTTAATTCTCTACAAGAGTCTCATACGAAAAAAGCAAAGATATTTATACTAACAGGAGGGGCCAATTACATATACACTAAGCAATAGTACCTACCTACGGAGATTATCATCGATGTCACTTCGATGCGCCGTTCGTGAAGAAAAAGAAAAGAACACGTTTGTGTGTGTGTGTGTATGTATGTACAATGTATGTCGAAGTACATATGGATATTTTTTCGCTTTCGATTTTTCCTACCACCTTTGGCCTACAAGTGTATAAATTATGTATATTTTTATTGTTTTATATTTGCCATATGATGTGATTTTATCACAACGACTGCTACTTTATTTCAAATGTACGTGAGAGAATAGATGTATGTATTTATGAGGTATTGCTAAGTTATGTAAATAAAATACCTTAAAGCGTTGAAAAAGAGTGTGTAGATATTATTAAAAAAAGGCAATTGTGGACATTGTTAATTCATCATTTTATTTGTAATACAAATATCCATCATTCTGATTAATTTTAATAGATTACGATTTTATCTTAAAGATTTTTCCTTACCTGCTAAACTTATATCTAAACTTGCTTTCTAAATCAGTGACGAAGATTCTAAATGTTAATCGTACATCAAATAAGATGAAAATTAAAATAAGATTTACAAGTTTATAATATTGATGATTAAAATTATTACTTTATGTTAATTATCTTGTTAAGTATCACTGTGTCCCGGTAAAAAAAATTGTTATATCAATATACAATATACATATGTATTTTGTACGTGTGTATACATATATCTTCTCCCCAAAAGGAATTTGTAAAAAATTATATACAAGTATGTACATACATAAATTATGTTCATACATGTTTTTTTCCGTAAATATCCCGTATTCTCTGTACATACAAGAATAATAAAACAAGTAATTGAGGGATGATTAGATAAATAAACTTTGTATTATTTTTTTACAAAAAGTGAAATGTATCTTACATGCCATTATTATATTTTCATATGATATGATTGTACGTACATGAGCAATTTTTGTCCGCAAGCTGCACTTTTCATTGAGAAAAAATGTTGAAATTATCTCACTATTTTCTAATTAGGACCAATTTCACAAACGTCGGTCAAGTACTAACCGAAGGTTAATTGTTTCTCTGTCTCTTCTTAAATAATATAATAGAAAAAGATAAAGAGTTGAGACTGAACTCTGGTTAACAGTTAACCGACGTTTGTGAAACTGACCCTTAGTATTTTTCTTGTATATATCATAAACATATATGTGTACAAACGTAATTATACAAGAGAAAGGAAACGGCTATTGATTTATACATAGTATATGTATATAATTTTTTCTATAAAAAGTTTTACCGGGATTATTGATCAAAAATCTCATATTCATATATTGAAGCAAGTTTTTCACTGACTTATCAAACTAATTTTCTATTCATGTGGGAAGCCTTTTCACCTTCAAAAAGAAAAATAATAAGCAGCCTTAACATGTTAAAACAAACGAACAAATTAATTTTTAAAACCACCAACTTGGGCTTTAGTCATAAAATATTTGTCTTGTTTGCATTCAACTTGATAAAAGTTTCCGTTTGTGCTTTTTTTTTAGATACAAGCAGAGTTCTTTCTAAAAATTACGCGGCGAATACCTATTTTGATATCTATATAAATTAATATGAATAAAGAAAAAAAGGTTAATATATCAAAGATATATTGCATCTAATGAATTCTACTATTAGGAATCAAAGCAAATGTCACGAACTTCAACAGAATTACTTTTGCATTTAACTTCAAGCTCTGTCGCCTATACTGCACTTTTTAATAATTTTATTTGTGTCACTATCATTTGTTCGACGTGAGATTCTTTGCTTGGTACAGTTTAGCCAATTTCAAAAGATCTGCAACGAAATGATATTTTAATCGTGAATGACATAAACAATAAAACAATTAACTTAAGCTTACCAAACATTTTCTCTACAGGTAGCTCAATACGGTTGGTATCGAAATACATGAAGAAGTAATAAGTATTAATGTAATAAATATCTTTAAATGGTATGAGTCTAAAGTTCATTGGTAACATGAAACGTTCATGAAACCTTTAAGATTACATCTTCAAGTTTAGAGAAATGTTTCATGCTACTAGGCCATAATCAAAATAGTGGTATCATAAACATACCTTCAGATCATCGACAGCATTACCCTTATCGTGTAACTGAAAGCAAATCTTCAAGGTTTTTGACTTTCTTTGATAGTCGACTAACTTGCTTTTGGAGACTATTTACTCGGGTTTTGTGTGTTTTCAGATATTTCTTAACCACATTATAGCATTCGGGCGAAGTAAAATCTTCAGGGCAAAGATCTCCAATAAATTTGACAGTTCGTACCTTATTGCATGTGGTGGCTACGTCTGTAGATAGTTTTCTTTTTCTGTAAAAACAAAAAAATATGAAAATGATGCTGTTTAAAAATTTTATATATTTTTCTTACTACATGTTGTGACTTACCTTGTTGACATTGAATCGTTCTGACTATTATCCGCATTATATAGAGGCACAGGAGATAAAACATCTTTAATTTCTCTAGGGTGTTGGACTGCTGAATTTTCATTGTTTAAGATATTTACTAGTTCTGATTGTTCTGATTCACAAGATTCTGACTTTACGTTGACCAACTTCAATTCCCTAATGATAATTTTTTTATAATAAAGAATAAATGTTATTCCGGAATTTTATCAGATAAATTTACCTTGTATCGTGTAAACCCTGGCATTTGTTTAAAAATTTTATATATTTTTCTTACTACATGTTGTGACTTACCTTGTTGACATTGAATCGTTCTGACTATTGTCCGCATTATATAGAGGCACAGGAGATAAAACATCTTTAATTTCTCTAGGGTGTTGGACTGCTGAATTTTCATTATTTAAGATATTTACTAGTTCTGATTCACAAGATTCTGACTTTACGTTGACCAACTTCAATTCCCTAATGATAATTTTTTTATAATAAAGAATAAATGTTATTCCGGAATTTTATCAGATAAATTTACCTTGTATCGTGTAAACCCTGGCATTTTTCTGCTGTAGGAATTGCTCCTTTTATTAAATGTCTTTGAATGTTATTAAGCTTATTGATTTTATATTGGAAAAAACTTGGTTTAAAATGATCACTGCACACTTTGCTGTAATTAGAAACATTTTTTCCGATTACAGCAATCCACTTTGCTCTCAAATCTTCTGACCGTGGTATACTTGAAAAAAATGTTTATTATAAATACATTGTAGGTTAGGTATAAACCATTTTTGTTTCAATTCAAAGTAATATACGTACGTATGGAATGTAATATCTGCATGAGAGCCAGAATGCGATTTGCAAATGCAGCAATAAGACATTGTTTATTTTGTATTTTACGAAATAAATTTATAAAATATCTATTGCTGACAGCCTATACCAGCCTACGCTTGCCTACGCCGCACTACGCCGTGGTAAGGCCACAGTATAACCAGTAGTTGCACTCTCTGTCGGCACCTTTGATCTGGGCGTTCTCAATTTTCCGCCATGTTTTTATTCGCGCCAACAGTGTATCAACGGCTAAAAGTGCCTGGGCCCTTTTCAGGATCGTATCCAGGAAAAGCACATACGAACTGGCATACATTATTTATTGTAAATGGAAATGGCCTATGAAAGAAAATGTTCTAATAAAAGTAATTAATGTAATTACTTGCTCCAACGTATAAAAGTATTTACCCATTATTCGTCAACACTGCGAATTTTTCAATGTCACACCGACTTTGCACTAACACACGTACAAAAATCCTGTGATTGGTCAGAATAAAAACATGTCGGATGCGCAGTACGGATCGGCGCGAACGTGAAACAAAAGAGCGAGTGCCACTACTGGTTATACTGTGGT